GCAATTATGCTGAGTCAGGCTTGATTTTTAGTAATCTTTTCCTGTTGAATCAATAAATCAATCAAATCAAACCTCCGGCTGCTCGCCCGTTCCCGTGAGACACTTTCACAGACGGAGACATTGAGCTCAGAACAGAAATGTGGTTTTTTTTTCTGTCCGTCTGCGAGGAAACCAGAGAGCAAACAGTGACCCAACATCATCCGAAGTACACAAGTGACTCTGCTCTCACTTCCTGTTTCCTGTGTGTGTGTGTTTGTTTTTACTACAGAGTGAGGACCATTTGCACCATTACTATCAAARTGAGGTCTTTGATKYAAAGTGAGGACCTCTTCAATGTCCTCACTTTGTTTGCAGCTCTGCTGTGCTTTACTAGTTAGGTTTAKRGCCGWRGTGCCCAAACCTTTTCCCTGAGAGGGCCAAGATGAAAATCTACTTGAGGGCTGTGGGCCAGATGCAATAATGTAATAGAGGAAATGCAAATACTTCTTAAGTAAAGTATTTTTACTTTGTATGATTAAGCCAAGAGCCAGTGCAGTGGCCCACATTTTGCTTGTGTTTTTAATCCGTTCACTTGCTCAGGCAGCAAAGGCTCATGGGATATTTCATATGTGATAAAATACGAGTATTTGTAGTCTTATAAAATTTTCAAATCTACATGTGTGCTTAAATCTTATGTAAATATCTTCTTTGGTTTCTTGTATTTTATATTTAATCTTGATATAATTCAGCGGCAAAGTCTGTGCCACAGTCCCTTATTCCCTTATTTAGTCATTGGGATGTAATTACTGCACATGGAAATACAGAGTTTCTACAGAGGATGACAGGCAATTAAAAACTACTGGTGGGCCAAATCAAATGGCTTGGCAGGCCAATTTTGGCCCAAGGGCCCCATTTTGGACACCTCTGGTTTAGAGGTATGATGTGAGTTAAGTTCTGGTTCAGGTTAGAGTTAACTATAGACCAGTAATGGTTAATTTTAGGGAAAATATCTGGGTTAGACATAAGTCAGGGCTATTCAATTGGC